AGCAAATGCCGACATCCGTTAAACACATACGGAACATCAATGTGTTTGGCCTTTTCTGGCTTTCCTGGAGGCCCTCTTACGGGCCTCTTGGGCCGTCTTGGGCAAGTTTCGAGCCAACTTCGGCCATCTTGGTGGGTTCCTGGCACGTCTGACGCCGTCAGGAGCCGTCTTTGGGGCCTTTCTGGGCCGACTTGGGGCCCTCTTGGGGCGCTTCGGGGCCGTCTTGGAGGCAATCTTGGGCGTCTTGAAGGCCATCTTGGGTGTGTTGGAGGCCTCTTGGGCCGTCTTGGGGCCCTCTTGGGGCCGTTTGGGAGGCCACTTGGGCCGTCATGGGGTCCTCTTGGGGGCCTCTTGGGCGATCTTGGGGGCCTCTGGGGCCGTCTTGAGCTGTCGGAAAGCCGAAAAGGCGCAAAGGCCAAAATCCTTCAAACACCTCTGGACAATCAATGATGTTGGCCCTTTCTGGCCTTCCTGGAGGACGTCTTGGAGGGCTCTTGGGCCGTCTTGGAGGCCTCTTGCGGGCTTGTTGGGCCGTTGTAGACTGTCTTGAATCCTATTGGGCCGTCTTGGAGGCATCTTGGGGCCATCTGAGCAGTCTTGGAGGCCATCTTGGCCCTCTGCAAGGCGTCTTGGAGTCCATCTTGAGCGTCTTGGAGACCTCTTGGGCCGTCTTGGGGCCTCTTGGGGCCGTGTCTTGGGCCTCTTGGGCGATCTGTGGGGGCACTTGGGCCGTCTCGGGCCGTCGGAAGGCCGAACAACAAGCAAACGCCACAATCCTTTCAACACTCTTTGGGGAAATCAATGATTTTCGCCTTTTCGGGTCTTCTGGAGGCCCTCTTGGAGGCCTCTTGGGCCGTCTTGGGCCATCTTAGGGCCATGTTCGGCCGTCTTGGTGGGCCCCTGGTCCGTCTGACGCCGTCGGAAGCCGTTTGGGGGGCCTCTGTGGGCCGACTTGGGGCCCTCTTGGAATGCTCCAGGGCCGTCTTGGAGGCCCACCTTGGGCGTCTCCAAGGCCTCCTGTGCCGTCTTGGGGGCCTCTTGGGGCCGTCTTGGGGCCCTCTTGGGCCGTTCTGGGGCCATCTTGGAAGCCTCTTGGGCGATCTGTCGGCGATCTTTGGGGGCTCTTGGGCCGTCTCGGGCCATCGGAAGGCCGAAAAGAAGCAAATGTCAACATCCATCAAACACCTTAGGAACATAACTGCTTTTGGCCTCTTCTGGCCTTCCTGGAGGCCCTCTTGGAAGCCTCTTGGGCCGTCTTGGGCCAGCTTCGAGCCAACTTCGGCCATCTTGGTGGGTTCCTGGCACGTCTGACGCCGTCGGGAGCCGTCTTGGGTGCCTTTCTGGGCCCACTTGGGGCCCTCTTGGGGCGCTTCGGGGCCGTCTTGGAGGCCATCTTGGGCGTCTTGGAGGCCATCTTGAGCGTGTTGGAGGCCTCTTGAGCAGTCTTGGGGGCCCTCTTGGGGCCGTCTTGGAGGCCATCTTGGCAGTCTTGGATGATGCATCTTGGAGACCATCTTGGGCCGTCTTGGAGCCGTCTGGAGCAGGAATAACCTTTGCAACCGGGTTTTCGACAATCTCCCGGGACCCCGGCGGGACGGGCCGAAGCCCCAGGGGGAGTTGTTTTGGAAAAAAAACAAAACCAAAACCGAGAAGGTCTAGCACGCCAGGCACCCCTGCGATCGAAGACGCCTACGGCGCATCACCGCCGCCCCCTGCCTTTTTGGAAGCGCCTATGTGGCAGAACGTTGAGGCCAGACCTGCCAAGCTATCGGACCATGTGTTTCCCGAATCGGTTTGGAAAGCCTTCGGGGAACACGTGGGCATCTTAAAGGTCATCTTGGCCGTCTGGAGGCCATTATGACCCTTTGACCCTTTCGGCCTTCTTGGAGGACGTCTTGGATGGCTCTTGGGCCGTCTTGGAGGCCATCTTGAGCGTCTTGGAGACCTCTTGGGCCTTCTTGGGGGCCTCTTGGGGTCGTGTCTTGGGCCGCCTTGGGCGATCTTTGGGGGCACTTGGGCCGTCCCGGGCCGTCGGAAGGCCGAACAAAAAGCAAACGCCACAATCCTTCCAAAATTTTGGGGAAATCAGTGATGTTGCCTTTTCGGCCCCTCCTGGAGGCCCTCTTGGAGGCCTCTTGGGCCGTCTTGGGCCATCTTAGGGCCATGTTCGGCCGTCTTGGTGGGCCCCTGGTCCGTCTGACGCCGTCGGAAGCCGTTTAGGGGGCCTCTGTGGGCCGACTTGGGGCCTTCTTGGAATGCTCCAGGGCCGTCTTGGAGGCCCACCTTGGGCGTCTCCAAGGCCTCCTGTGCCGTCTTGAGGGCCTCTTCGGGCCGTCTTGGGGCCGTTCCCGTTCTGGAGCCATCTTGGGGGCCTCTTGGGCGATCTTTCGGCGATCTTCGGGTGCTCTTGGGCCGTTTCGGGCCGAACCGAAGCACATGTCAAAATCCGTCAAACACATACGGGACATCAATGTTTTGGGCCTCTTCTGGCCTTCCTGGAGGCCCTCTTGGGGGCCTCTTGGGCCAGCTTCGAGCCAACTTCGGCCATCTTGGTTGGTTCCTGGCACGTCTGACGCTGTCGGGAGCCGTCTTGGGGGCCTTTCTGGGCAGACTTGGGGCCCTCTTGGGGCGCTTCGGGGCCGTCTTGGAGGCCATCTTGGGCGTTTTGGAGGCCATCTTGGGTGTGTTGGAGGCCTCTTGGGCCGTCTTGGGGCCCTCTTGGGGCAGTCTGGGAGGCCACTTGGGCCGTCATGGGGTCCTCTTGGGGGCCGCTTGGGCGATCTTGGGGGCCTCTGGGGCCGTCTTGGGCCGTCGGAAAGCCCAAACGGCGCAAATGCTAAACTCCTTCAAAAACCTAAGGAGAATTGATGATTGTGGCCCTTTCGGGCCTTCCTGGAGGACGTCTTGGAGGGCTCTTGGGCCGTCTTGGAGGCCTCGTGCGGGCTTGTTGGGCCGTCGTAGACCGTCTTTGGTACATCTTGGGCCGTCTTGGAGGCATCTTGGGGCCATCTTAGCCGTCTTGGAGGACGTCTTGGAAGGCTCTTGGGCAGTCTTGGAGGCCATCTTGAGCGTCTTGGAGACCTCTTGGGCAGTCTTGGGGGCCTCTTGGGGCAGTGTCTTGGGCCGCCTTGGGCGATCTTTGGGGGGCATTTGGGCCGTCTCGGGCCGTCGGAAGGCAGAACAAAGCAAACGCCACAATCCTTCCACCACTTTTGGGGAAATCCGTGATTTTGCCTTTTCGGGCCTTCCTGGAGGTCCTCTTGGAGGCTTCTTGGGCCGTCTTGGGCCATCTTAGGGCCATGTTCGGCCGTCTTGGTGGGCCCCTGGTCCGTCTGACGCCGTCGGAAGCCGTTTGGGGTGCATCCATGGGCCGACTTGGGGCCCTCTTGGAATGCTCCAGGGCCGTCTTGCATCTTGGGCGTCTTAAACGCCTCCTGTGCCGTCTTGGGGGCCTCTTGGGGCCGTCTTGGGGCCCTCTTGGGCCGTTCTGGGGCCTCTTGGGCGATCTTTCGGCGATCTTTGGGGGCTCTTAGGCCGTCTCGGGCCATCGGAAGGCCGAAAAGAAGCAAATGTCAACATCCATCAAACACCTTAGGAACATCAATGTTTTTGGCCTCTTCTGGCCTTCTTGGAGGCCCTCTTGGGGGCCTCTTGGGCCGTCTTGGGCCAGCTTCGAGCCAACTTCGGACATCTTGGTGGGTTCCAGGCACGTCTGACGCCGTCGGGAGCCGTCTCGGGGGCCTTTCTGGGCCGACTTGGGGCCCTCTTGGGGCGCTTCGGGGCCGTCTTGGAGGCCATCTTGGGCGTCTTGGAGGCCATCTTGGGTGTGTTGGAGGCCTCTTGGGGCCCTCTTGGGGCCGTCATGGAGGCCACTTGGGCCGTCATGGGGTCCTCTTGGGGGCCTCTTGGGCGATCTTGGGGGCCTCTGGGGCCGTCTTGAGCCGTCGGAATGCCGAGAAGAAGCAACTGCCAAAATCCTCCAAACACCTATGGACAATCAATGATTTTGGCCTCTTCTGGCCTGCCTGGAGGACCTCTTGGAGGCCTCTTGGGCCGTCTTGGAGGCCTCTTGAGAGCCTCTTGGGCCGTTTTGGGCCATCTTGAGGCCATCTTAGGCCGTCTTGGGTGCATCTTGGGCCATCTTGGAGGCATCTTGGGGCCATCTTGGGGCCGTCTTGGAGGCCATCTTGGCCGTCTTGGAGGCCATCCTGGGCCATCTTGGAGCCGTCTGGAACGGAAACGCCCTTTGCAACCACATTTGGGCAAATTTTCGGCATCCTTCCGGGTGGCAGGCGGGACGGGCCGACGCCCCAGGGGGAGTTCTGTGGAAAAAGAACCAAAACAAAAAGCCATATAGTCTGGCACGCCAGGCACCCCTTTGATAAATCAAAAGGGGGCGGCGGCGGTTCTCGAGTAAGGGTTGGGGGACAGGGGTTCGGGGGAAATCATTCCATGGGGGTTTTCGACATCCTGGGCTAGAGGTGCGCCAGCTCCCTCCCCCTCCCCCCCCGCTTGACTGGCGTCTCCTCCTCGCTTTCTTCGGCCCATCCCGTGCCTGGGTTGTGAGTCATAGGCCTCTCGGATGTTCGTTGGGATGTCGCGGGGGGCCTCTTGGGGGCCGTTTTGGAGGCCTCCTGGGGGCCGTGTCGGGGTCTCTTTTGGGACGTCTGGAGGGCCCAGGAGGGGCCTTTTGGGGGCCTCTTGGGGGCCTCCTGGGGGCCTCCTGGGGCGGACGACTCGGAGTGTCCGTTCATGGTCCCCCTCTTGGGTCGTCCTTGGGCCTGTCTTTGGGGCGGTCTTGGGCGCCTTTCGGGTCAGCTTGGGGCGGTCTTGGGGTCTCTTGGGCTTTCTTGGAGCCTCGGAAGCTCGAAAAGTCGACGACCCAACAATTATAGATTGAAGAAACACACGGGACATCATCGATTTTGGTTTCTCCGGGCATTTTGGGGAAGGTTTCTGTGGCTCTCTTGGGGCGCCTCGAAGGCTAATTGGGCCGCAGTCATTTTGACTGAAGCCATTCTGGCTCAAGAAGCAGTTTCGCCAGAGGCGTAGTTTCATCCAGTGTCCCGATTGCCAGTCGCATTGTTCGCACATGCCGGCAACCCTCAGTGCGATCCAGAGCGTCGTGGAGGCATACGTCTCCAGCGTCGCACCAACCACGTTGGCCTTTGGCTTCTTGACCATGGTGCCGTGGAGCTTGCAGGAAAAGCCGGCCAACGTGCTGGCATGTGGAGCAGGCGGAAGTGTGAGTTCGGAAAGCATCGCTCAGATAGTGGGGCAGCACGACGTCTTGTTGATCGTATCCGTATACAGGACGGAGTGGGAGAAGAGAGGCGTGGCAGGTCTTCTAGACTATCTGAGGACGGCGCATTCCGACGCGATCGTCTTCTTGGTGCAGCTTCCAGATCGATTGAATACCGAGCTCACCAAGGCCTACATCAGTGAACTGATGGCGCGGCAGGACGATCTCTACACCTTTGGGGCGGACGGCGTGTTGATAGAGCTGACAGGTGACCCGGAAGGGCTGCAACAGAGTTTAAGCTTGGAGCTCATAGAGAACGCCGCCATCCAGCCGCGCGTGCAGGCATTTGCTAACGATGCGAACCAGGGGGTACCCTCTGCCAGGGATCTCAAACTCATCGAGGACGAGTTCCGAAGTCTCCTCTGGAATGCCATCCCGAATCTGTTGATGCCCGACTTCGCGCCACTGAACAAGCGTCTCCTGGAATGTGGGAATCAGGTCGGGGATTTCCGGTTTGTGCGCCCGTATTCGGATCACCACCACGTGGTCTTGGCCGTGAAAGGACAGCATGAAAAGGTAGTGATCAAAGTGCACGACAAGCGCAGCGTCACCGAGGCCAAGGAGGTGGAAAGCATATACCAGGAGTTCTGCCTCTTGACGCACACCCTGGACCACCCACACATTATCCGTTGCGTAGGTATGCTGCAGAGCCAGTGTTATGTGTATGTGGCCCTCCAGTATGGTGGAGATGTGTGCATGGAGCAAATGTTGTCGACTCAAAGAGGCCACCGCTTGTCCAGGGACGACGCCTTGAACTGCAGTGCCCAGGTTGCGAGTGCGCTGTCGTACTGCCACGCCCAGGACGTCGTGCATGGGCAAGTGTCTTTGAGGCACGTGGCGGTAGAGATAGCATGTAATCGGCACATCTGCCGCCTTGTGGACTTCAGCATGGCGGCCCACGTTCCAAACTCCAACACAAGGGAGACCTTGTGTGGATCTCTGCCATGCGTCGCTCCAGAGACGGTGCTGAACGAGCCGTATTTGCCCAAGCCAGCAGACTGCTGGAGTTTTGGGGTGTTGTTCCTGGAGATCGTTTGCGGGCAGGGTTCGCTCGAGTTGTCCGTCCAGTGGCGCCGTGGCGAGTCCCTCGCATACGTTGCGGGGAACATTCTCGAGTTCTTCTCCCAGGCTGGCTGTCACACCGACGCGATGACGAAGATGGGTAACGCACCTGACGGCATAATACTGGCGTGCTTGGGGGCGGCGTTGAAGCCAGAGCCCGTTCGCAGAGCGAGTGCGTCCGACATGGTGGGCATGTTATCCATTGTGCACACCGAGCAAACCAGCTTTGATTGACCTGTTGCCAGTCGCCTTTGCATTGCGGGCGCGCGTACAGGAGCGCATACCCCACAGTGCCGCACCATTTTCGCACCCGTAGTGATTATTGCCGGTTCGGCAAGCTTTGCGCGCCAAGTTTTTTGATGCAGACAAGGTTCGAGCGGCACGAGGCCAGACGATCCACAGTCCGCGCGCGCAACCGAGCCCGAGGGGACAGTGGCCTCCCCCTGCTCGTCCTCCTTTGGCACTGGTCGGACCTGCCTGCTCTTCTCCTGCGATGGGGCTTCTCTTTCACCGCAGCGCCGCTGCCGCTGCCTTTTTTGTGGAGGCTGGGTGCCCCCGATTCCACTGGGCTGGTGCCTGCGATGGTGAACTGCGTGCGAATGCATGAGTGAGTGAAGGTCTTTACACGTCTGCGGAGTGACGCGCCCGAAATCAGACCAGGCCAGGATATCCCCAGAATAAAGTGAGAACAATCTCCAGAAAGGGGTCGTTGTTTATTCATTGTTTTGCCGATCGGCGCGGGCCCTCGCACGCCCCCCGCCCCCCTGCCGGAGTGGATCTTGGCTGTGTTTGTTGGCGCCTGGTTCGAGCAGGTGGAGCCTCCCCCATAGTGGACGCCCTGGTGCAATCAGTCGCATTAAGCAGAGGTCTGGAGCCAGACCACCCCCCCTCCCCCCCTTCCGCCCAACGTCGAAATGCCGAATGACAAAACGTTCACAAAATTCCCAAGCTGCTCCCCAAAGTATGTCCACAAAGAATTTCTGGGGAATTTCCTGACGCTCCGGCCCCCGGAAAGTAGTTCCAGAGTATTTCAAACATATGTCCAAAGAATTTCCGGAGAACTTCGGAAAAAATCTGCCCCCCGGAGAATTTCCACACATCTCCGGCCCCTTACACATCTCCAAAATCTGGCCCCTGGAGAATTCCCGAAAATATGTAGCGGAGAATTTCTGGAAATTGTCCGGCCCCATGAAAGCATGTCCAAATTATTTCGGGAGAATTTGTGGCCACACGAAAATATTCCCAAAGTATTGTTGGAGAATTGCAAGGACATTTCCGGGGAAATTCTTTGGGAAATATGTCGGACATTCTGTGTTAGGTATTCTTGAAAGGCTTCCAGTCTGACTCCAGCGCGGCCACCCACTGCCTGGCAGCTTAATCACATGCCAACTGCATGTTTTGCCACCAGTCTTCTTTCCTCGTCCTCGCCTTCCTCTTCTCTCAATGCCATGGTTTCCTACATCATGAGCCCGAGTGCGTTTCTGTTGCGCGACCGCTCTCGCAGGACCCCATCCAGAGATGGGCACGGCGCACACCACACACATTCTCGCGCGGTGCTTCCAACAAGGGCGGCTCAAGGGAGGGGGGGGTAGCTTAAGCCTAGCCCCCCCTCCCCTTTGCTCGGGCCCTGCGGGCGCGCTGTCTCATATATAGATGTATATACACATCTAATCTTATATATATATGTATATGGTCATATGCATTGCTCAGATTGTACCCTATCGGTGGCCTTGAACGCACTCGTGGTTGGATCACCCCCCCGCGGTGCACTTCCATGTTCTGCAAAAGGATGCGATGTCCAAAGCAGAAGCATGAGCAGAACAGAGTGAGTAGTAAGACGGGGGGGAGCGCGGAGGATAGAGGGCAAGAGGCGGGTGACAGGGTGGTCGAGGGGAAGGTGTATGATCAAATAAGAGATGACGACACTTCTGGATGTCCGCGCGGATTTCTTGGAACGGCGCTGGGCCCCCTGGCGGCGCCTCAAGCTCCGCCCCGGGCGCGCCCTGCGCGGGAGGGCTGTTCACCGCCGATCCAACAAATCCGCGTGGACCTCCGAACGTTTATGGTCTGACAATGTTCCTTGACCTTCTAGTGGATGAGAAGAAGGGGGAGGAGGGTTCTGAGATCCGACGTTGCGAACAACTCGCAACACCATGAGCAATTACGACCAGAGCCCTAGACCTTATCTCTCTGCAGCATTTCTCAAACTGGATGGAGCAGTGATAGCCCCAGCCCCAGGGCCCGAAGATGGGCGAACACGCCTCGTGGGACAACAAACTCAATGTCCGGATCTCATGGGAAGGGGGCTCTCCAAGGGCGCCCTCGAGGCCGCGAAGCTGCTCGCGGCTCGCGCTTCGTGGGGATCGGAGTTCTCGTCCTCCTTTTCTCTCCTCAAGGGGGGCGCGAGAGCGCGAAGCTATTCGCACAGCGCGCTTCGCGCTGCGCGCAGGAAGCGCGAAGCCAGGCGCCCTTGGATCTCGTGGGCAGGGGGATCTCTCTGGAGGCCGGCACCTCCTGCCCCGCCGCGGCCCCGCCCCCGCCAGGCATGTCGCGGGCGCTGAAGCTGGCGGGGGACCTCGAGCCGTCCTTGGAAAGCGTGATGTGCGGGGGGGGGGGAGGGGCGGCTCGTGCCACGAGGCAGGCCAGTGCGAGGAGGAGGAGGAGGAGGAGAAGGGCAGGGGGAGGGGGAGGGGGAGGGGGAGGGGGACAAGCTAGGTGCGCTCGCGTCAACATCTGACATCCTGCCCCTCCCTCCCATCCCTTACCATGGCGCTGATTTTCTCTATCCGCGGACGCGTGTCGTAGCGGACCTGTGGCTCCGCGCGCGTGTGCGTAGTGGGTGGTGGTGCGCGTGCGTGCGTGCGTGTGTGCGTGGTTGTGGTTGTTGTGGTGGTGGTGTGTATGTGTGTGTGCGTGTGTGCGCGTGTGCTGTGGTGTGACGTGGTGTGGCGTCTTGGTGGTTTGGTGGTGGGCCAGGTGCGTACGTGCGTGATGGCGGTGGTGGTGGTGGCGGTGGTGTGTGTGTGTGTGTGTGTGTGTGTGTGTGTGTGTGTGTGTGTGTGTGTGTGTGTGTGCGTGCGTGCGTGCGTGTGTGTGTGTATGTGTGTGAATGTGTGTGTGTGTGTGTGTGTGAATGTGCGTGTGTGGTGTGTGAATGTGTGTGTGTGTGCGTGCGTGCGTGCGTGCGTGCGTGCGTGCGTGCGTGCGTGCGTGCGTGTGTGTGTGTGTGTGTGTCTGTGTGCGCGCGTGTGATGTGGTGTGACGCGGTGTAGCGTGGTGGTGGTGTGTGGGGTAGTGCGGTGGTGGTGGCGGTGCGCGGTGGTGGTGCGCGTGCGTGCGTGCGTGCGTTGGTGAGTGGAAGTGGCGGTGGGTGTGCGTGCGGCGGGGCGGGGCGTGGTGCGGCGCGGTGGTGGCGGGCGGATGGGCGCGCGAGAAAGAGGTCCGCGATGGGGTGAGAACGCCATCCTGAACGACGGAGGCAAAACACCGATCCGATAATGAGGCCCACGCTGCAGCGGGAACACGATTCGGAACGATTCGGGAGCAGAACTGAGGCCGGCGCCTCAGCGAGAGCAGCATTTTGACAAAAAAAACGCAGACGAAAACCCAACTCCGGAGAATCGTGTGTGTAAAAAACAGTACGCGGGGGGGGGGGGGGGGCGAATACGCAAAAGACGCCATCAGGGGAAGAGGGAGAGTAGTATTCATATTGAGTAATTGTGGAGGAGGAGGAGGAGGAGGAGGAGGAGGAAAAGGACGGGAGGAGGAGAAGGAGGAGGAGAAGGAGGAGGAGAAGGAGGAGGGGGGGGAGGCAAGCTAGGTGCGCTCGCGTCATATCTGACGTCCTACCCCTCCCTCCCATCTCTTACCATGGCGCTGATTTTCTCTATCCGCGGACGCGTGTCGTAGCGGACCTGTGGCTCCGCACGCGCGTGCGTAGTGGGTGGTGGTGCACGTGCGTTCGTGCGTGCGTGCGTGCGTGCGTGTGTGCGTGGTTGTGGTGGTGCTGGTGCTGGTGCTGGTGCTGGTGCTGGTGCTGGTGCTGGTGCTCGTGCTGGTGGTGGTGCTGGTGCTGGTGCTGGTGGTGGTTGTGATGGTGGTGGTGGTGGTGGTGGTGGTGGTGGTGGTGGTGCGGCGCGGTGGTGGCGGGCGGATGGGCGCGCGAGAAAGAGGTCCGCGCTGGGGCGAGAACGCCATCCTGAACGACGGGGGCCAAACACCGATCCGAAAATGAGGCCCACGCTGCAGCGGGAGCACGAGTCGGAACGATTCGGGAGCAGAAATGAGGCCGGCGCCGCAGCGAGAGCATCATTTTATACAAAAGCGCAGGCGAAAACCCGTTTCCCGGAAACCCTGTGTGTAAAAAACAGTGCGCGGGGGGCGCTCGGCCCGAAAATGACGCCGGCGCCTCAGCGAGAGTCGTTTCCCGGGATTTCCCGGGCATCATGTGTGTTAAAAAACAGTACGCGGAGAATGCGCGGCCATCACCCGGACGCCATCAGGGGAAGAGGGAGAGTATTTTCATAATGAGTAATCGTGGAGGAGGAGGGAGAGGGGGAGGGGGCGGATGAGGGTGGAGGAGGGAGGGAGGAGGGAGGAGACGGGGGGGAGGAGGGAGGAGGGAGGAGGGAGGAGTATGACGAGGGAGCAGGGAGCAGGGAGGAGGGAGGAGGAGGAGGATGATGAGGAGGAGGAGGAGGAAGAGGAGGAGGAGGAGGAGGAGGAGGAGAAGGACGGGAGGAGGAGGAGGAGGAGGAGAAGGAGGAGGGGGGGGAGGAGGATGATGCCCGCGTAGCCGGGGGCGCACGCCGCTCCGTGCGCGCCAGCCGAGGGGGCTCCCGAGGGCCCCCGCCGTGATGGACCAGTCGACGGCGCCGCCGACGACGCAGTCCATGTGCCGCGGGGGGGGGCCGGGGGGGCGGCCAGCCGCGAGACGGCCAGGCCCCCTACCCCCCTGGCCCGCTGCCTCCCCCGCGGCGTCCGGGCCCCAGGCCAGCCTCCGCGGCGCGCCGCTGGAGCAACGCGGCCTCCAGCTTCGCCCGCTCCGCCTGGAGCGCGGCCTGGCGGTCCCCCGCGGGCGGCGCGAACGCCACCAGCGCAACGCCAGCCGCCGCCGCCGCACCGGCAGCGCTCCCCGCGGCGGCGGCACCAGCAGCAGCGGCTCCAGCGCAGGGCGCCTCCGCCTCCGTGCCGGTGCGCCGCAGCCGCCTCCGCGCGGCGCGCGAAGGCGGCACGTCCGCCCACTCGTCGTTGAAGTCCGAGCCCTCGTCGACGCCCATGGGCACGGCCTCGAGCTGCATGCCCGCTCTGGCGCCGCCACCGCCCGCCACCGCGAGCGCGCCGCCGCCTCCGTGTCCAGCATCTCGAGCCACGTCTCGCCGCCGTTGCGCGAGGCGCTGGCGGCGTCGCCTGCGCCGCTCCAGCTTGGCCGCAGAGGCGGCAGCGGGAGCAGCAGCAGCAGGACCAGCTCCAAGAGGCGCGTCGGCAGCTGCAGGCGCCGCTGGCCGCTCGCGCAGCGCGAAGAGCGCTGCGCTCACTGCCGAGCGCGCCACGGCCGCCACCGTGCGCCTTGGAGCCTTTGCAGTCACGGCTCCCCGCACAGCCGCCTCGACGACGGCGGCGGCGCCCGCCATGAGAGCCCCTCTAGGCTCGTGCCACCGCGGAGGGGGGCCGAGCCGTGCGTCCGTTTGAGCCCAAAATGGGGGGAGGAGGAGGAGGAGGATGAGGGAGGAGGGAGGAGGAGGAGGAGGAGGAGGAGGAGGAGGAGGAGGAGGAGGAGGAGGAGGATAGGAGGAGGAGGAGAGGAGGGAGGAGGAGGAGGAGGGGAGGAGGAAGGGGGAGGGGGAGGGGGAGGGGGGGGGGGAGGGGGCGGGGGAGGGGGAGGGAGGGGGGGGGGGAAGGGGAGAGAGGAGGAGGAGGAGAGGAGGAGGAGGAGGAGGAGGAGGGAGGAGGGGAGGAGGAGAGGAGGAGAGGAGGGAGGAGGAGGGGAAGGGGAGGGAAGGGGGAGGAGGCAGGAGGAGGAGGAGGAGGAGGAGCAGGAGGAGCAGGAGGCGGGCGAGGGCGAGGAAGGAGGAGGGAGGAGGGAGGAGGGAGCAGGGTTGAGGGAGGAGGGAGGAGGCAGGAGGGAGGGGGGAGGAGGAGGATGAGGGAGGAGGGAGCAGGGAGGAGGCATGAGGAGGATGAAGGATGAAGGATGAAAGAGGAGGGAGCAGGGAGGAGGGAGGAGGGGGGAAGGAGGATTGAGGAGGGAGGGGGGAGGAGAAGGAGGAAGAGAAGGAGGAGGATGAGGAGGATGAGGAGGAGAAGGAGGAGGCGGCGGTGGAAGCGGAGGAGGAGGAGTACGAGGAGGAGAACGAGGAGGAGTTTGAAGAGTAGGAAGCGGAGGAGGAGGAGGAGGAGGCAGAGGAGGAAGCGGAGGAGGAGGATCCTTTTGCGGCTCAGCCGTTGGGGCGCCGCTGGCTCGTGCTGAAGTTGCTCCGCAAATTTTTCGTCGCGGCGCGCCGCATGCACAGGAGGGTACTGTGGATTCGTGTCGTGTCGACCAGCGGTGACCCCGCCGCTGGCGTTGAACGTTGAACGCAGCCTGCGATCCAGAATCGATCGATGTTGAACGGCCTGACGTCTCGGAAACGGGCGATCGAACAAGGTTGAACGAT